AGGTCTCCGACATGACCAAGACAAAAATTAATAATCAATCAGATTTGTAGCAACTGTTGTACCCGTGCCACACATTTACGATAGTGACGTATGTGTTCGAACAATAGAATAAATAACCAGCAAGGCTAAAGACGTGCTAATTGTGTTGGCGCGATAGCCTTTGCAGCATCAACATTCGCGTCTGACGGAGGCAAACAACACGCGACCGTTGATAGACACTCGAACAGAATGGAAAGTAGCTGCGCGGTGTGCACTAGTAATAATAAAAGTACTATTACTAGTCTCTATCTTGATGCTAGTGCTCTCGGTACCAAGAGATGAGAAAGTGTATTGCTGTTAGCTAGAAAACTACAAGTACTACTTTTGTGGAACTAGAATTGCATTAGTTCCTACTATTCTCTAYCGCACCACCATAATTGTAGATGGTCAACAATCCCACAAGTGTTTCAACGTGAGGAYAGAGCTCCGATGCCATGGGTCCATCCAAGACTCSTCGCCTGCACGATACTATCAAGAATGATCAACTCAGACCCGCATTTTTTGCTATCCTACCGATACGTTTCCTCGGAAAAGATGCAGTGAAGRTATCTGCAACCTATCCGTTGGGAACCAAAGCAAAAATTGTGTGATAGTACTACGGYACTGTACTAACGAGACGTGTATAMGTATTGTCTCTCGGSCTTTTAAGCGTTAGGTAWTTCTGTCTGGCTGTGCGATGGGACGACGACTTGTCCTATTCAGACACAACTTGAATTTCCTAATGAGGTACACAAATAATCAATAATCTACTCTTATTCCAACGAAGTATTCGGCGATTGGAATGGCAGAAAGAATCGAAGAAACCGATTGAACCGAACCGGTACCGTACGTATGGTACAGACGTTACGTACCCGGGAAAAAAATGAGAGAGGTTTCAACGGCACAAAATTAAAGTATTTAGTCGTACGAGTCGATCACAACTACAGTATTCAATATTCAATCAACAGGCAGTGCAGTCGTAGTCTGAAGCCCCGATAGTTTATTGTTCCAGGTTGTGCTGCTGGTACCCAAGTACTCGTACCTTACGGTAGAGTCTCGTACAACAAGTACTGAGTTGAAACGAATCACCGCATCGTACGTACCGGTCCCCTCGTAGTGCCAAATAGTACGGTACCAGGTACGTTAGCTTGCGGAGATGGTTGTGTTCTCCGTTCTCCTCTAGTGAAGAATCTCTGCAATGCCCAACACAACACCCACGGTGCACAAAAGAATTTACCATGGTGGGATGAGTTGCACGGTGCAGAACCAAACACCAAAATCGAGTTCGACCATGGCAATCGGAGGCCCTCGGTGATGCGAATGAAAACAACATCAGTGTRCAATAATAAACGGGAACAGAATGTTTCAATCCTGCATTCTTGCCCGCCTGGCAGGGGCGTTTGGTGGAGAGAACAACTTGGATGATTGGGACAACCACAACCACACAGGAATCGATGGGGACGATTTCGGAGAGGACGGCTACGGAAACCATCCGTTTGGATGCTGGGCGCATCTGCTGGACGGACGCCAGAGAACAAGAGAGGGTGCAAGTGCAACTGCAAGTGCAAGTGCAACTGCAACTGTTACAGCAACGAGCCGCCACCGAATCCGGAGCGTTCTGAAAATCGATCCGTTCACGGGCGCCCTGAAGGTCCCCGTCTACCAAGAGATTTCCAGGGCCGATCACTGCCCGTTGCTGAAGAGCGCCTGGGGGCAGGACTGGGGAGARGTCCTGCGCTTGTGCCACAGCCAGCCCTCGAGGACCCTGCACAAGACCAAGCACAGCGGACGGACCGCGCTGCACCTGTCGACCTTTGACCGGAGGTGTCCCCCCCTGGTGGCCCGGGCCTTGCTCCGGGCCAACCGGCACATGATCGCCGTAAGGGACTCCAACCACTACACCCCGCTCCACATTGTCGCCTTCTTCGCGTCCTCCGATTTGCTCCGGGGGAGGGCCGCTGCCGGCGTGGCCGGAAACAACATGGTGAGACCATTGGCATCGGCATCGGCATCCCCATCGGCAACGGCATCCCCATCGGCATCCGCAACGGCATCCGCAACGGCAGTGCTGCCCACCGAATCCGCAACCAAGCGTTCCACCGACTCGTCCGAGGAACAGCAAAGAGCAGCGAGTGAGGAAGCCAGGACCGAGGCCGAGAGCGTCCTGTCGCTCTTTTGCGATACCGCCATTATGGTCGAGCAGGAGCTTCGCACCCCGGAGCTTTTCCAGGGCCAGAACAACAAAATAGAGCAGCAAACCTCTCCCCTCTACCTGGCTGCCAAGCGGGGTGCCCCCCTTTCCATCCTGAAAATACTCCTGGAAACACGATCGAGAACCCACTGGATCGCTCCTTCGACCGGTGGAGAACCCTATTTCTGGGACGGCGGCGGCGACGGAACCYCCGACTCGAACGCCCCGGCTCCGTTGTCATCGTCATCGTCATCATCGCCGTCGTCCACGACTTCCCTCTCGTCGCCCCTCGAGATCATGCTGCGGGAGGACCGCCTCCGCAGCAGTGCAGGCCACTACAGAGATGCCTACCTCCTCGAGGAGGAGGAGGACGGGAACCACCCCCCTCGAAACGACGACGGAAACGGCAGCCACCAGAGAGCGGTGTTCCGAGCTCCGAGTGCGAGCACCCGRTTGCGCATCCGTCCCCGGCAAAAGGCTTCCCCTGCCCGCGAMAGGGGCCTATCGRATCGATCGCCCCTCCACCCCGAGGAAATCGCTGGGGTTCCCCACCTTGTCCAGAAAATGCGCCGAGTGGCCATCGATCGGTGCCACCGGCATTTCCACCCCCGCGACGATGTCGGGCAACGGCAGACCAACCACAAAACAAGGAGCGACGACGAAGAATGCGACCAGGAACTCAATACAGCAAAACAGCAACCGCAATCCGGGCTCGACCCTCGAAGCGAGGAGGGCGATCGTTTGCTGGTACCGATGGATTTCACGCAATCCCAAAAACAGTGTCTYGATCTCTGGGAAAAATGCATCGAGCTGCTCGTGACCGCGGGGGGAGGCGGGRTTCCGTTGCTGGAAGTCGTGGTCGATCACCCGCGGCGSCACCAGGAACAACTACMGCCGTTCCAGAAGYACGGAATCTTGCATGCCTGTGTCTGCTGCAAGATGCCCGTGCCGTCCCTGGTAGAGGTTGCTCTGTTGGTGTTTCCAGAGCAGGCTTACCAGCGGGACGTCCGGCACGGGATGATTCCCTTGCACCACGTGCTGCGGGCCGAGCACAAGTATGCGTACGCTACGTCCAGCTTGTTGGCGATCTTGCTGCAGGGAAGAACACCGARCGCACCCAACAAAAAGACCGTCGTTCCCAAAAAGCAGTTCCTGTCGTCGTCGTCGTCGTCTTCCGGTACGAGGACGGAACAGAAGTCGAGTGTCGATGCTGCTGCCAGCAATGACCGGAAACAATCGCGATGCTGCGCAAATCCATCTGTTTTGTCACCAAACTACTTGCAACCCACGGTGCTCTTGCCGCTTCCGTCCGAGAGCGGCGGCGATGGCAATCACGATGGTGCAGAACCGAAAGAGCGACGGAGAAARCGGACGGGTCCAACTCCGCTGGCCTATGCCATCAAGCTGAGACTGCCCATGGATACCGTGRTCGACCAACTCTTGGAAGCGGACTCGTACGACAGCTTGCGGACGGTAGATCCCGAAACGCAACTGCCCCCGTTTGCCCTGGTGGCCACCAAGGTGCCGAGGCATTCTGCTGTCAAGGGTTATCTCATCAATTGCAACCAGGGAAGCAAGCCGCAAACAACAACAATGCCGTCGCCATCATCGGCGAGGGCAAAGAGGAAAGAATYCCTACAAAGTGACGTTGATATTGTCACTGCCGCGATCGAAAGTACCCTGAACGCACTATCCTCTGGGGACGGGGACACTTTGCGGAGCACGAGAAACCCGTTGCCAACTACCTCTTCCACTGAGAATAGAAAAGCAGAAAGCAGAGCACGCGATACTGCTTCTGCTGCGTCGGWAGCTAACTATAAATTGGACGATGTTTATCGCCTTTTGTTGGCGCACCCGCAAGTCTTGGCGCAACACATACCGTAACAGTTCAACCGGATATACCACATGCTATGGGATGATATATAATTGGCGCTTGGTTGGCGCGAAAACAATTAATTATTTGATAATGTCAATCGAATCTACCCCGACTTTTCTGTTTTCGATTTGTTACGTTTTCTTCTTTCGAAAAATAGAGCTCATTCACGGAAGCGGTCGGCGAGGTTTGTATATACTCACCAATGCGTTCGTTGACCCGGCAGCCAGCACAAGTTTCTGCTTGTGGAATTCTAGACAGCTCACGGGTCCGATCCTGTGGCCCGGTAGAGATTCTTCATGGAATCGGGCTACCTGGAGTGTCTCTCCTTCTAGTGTCAGAATCTTGATAAACTGAGCGTGAGAACCAGTCGCGGCAACGGGTATTTTCTTGTGCACAGAAAGGGCAGTCATCGGGCTACGCTGGACTTCAATTGCACGGAGRCTTCGAGACGACCTCCGAATATCCCATGCTCGAATGTCTCCCGCAACGCTTCCGGAAAGTATTTCGTTCTGAGTTCCGCAGTAAGAGGCAAAGGAAACATCAACAATCCAGCTTCCGTGCTCGTTGAAAGTCYTGTTGTTCAAGGCAGCTGCGCCTGCCCTTCTCCGACTGGTTGCACCTGTTGCCCTTCCGCGAGGAGGGCTTTTGTTATTTGCCCTTGCCGCTGCAGATAAGGCAGCTCCGGACTTGGGCATTCGAACRTCAAACAAYTTCAAGGAACCATCCGAAAATCCGGCTGCGATGATTTCCGGTCCAGTCCCTCGAAATCCAGTATTGTTATCTTCGTCCCAAGCTGTTGTGAGCGCAGTTATGCACGAGTCGCTTTCAATGTTAATAGTAGCARAACACTTCTGTGCGGTCATGTCCCAACAACGTAGGTTTCTAGAATTTCCACCTATTGGCAAGCAAAGCACAAATAAAGCACCGGTAACCAATTCGATTGGGACCGGAAATGAAATGAGTGATTTGCACGATTTTGAGAAAGGAAATTTTACCAAAGCCCGATTGAAGGCACTCAAGCATTCAAAGTAGTTTTTTACGGAAGATTCGAAACGTAAAAACCAAACTATTTCTTACCTGATATCAGCGTGCCTGTTGTCTGCTGCCATTCGCAAATTAAGCCGCTCTTGCTTCGCTGGCCAGATTCCATGWCTGGGATCGCATAGAAAGCAGATTCAAGCACCGGAGCTTGGTTCGAAATTTCGCCATTGTTTTCGACAATACCACGCCAAATGCGTGCTGAACCATCGTCGCAACCGACAAACAGGAGACTGGAGGATGATTCRTTCATCCAAAATGTGGAAGTCATTCGAGAACCCGTGGGATTCCCATTCTTGAACGATGATTTTTGGGTTCCTTTTTCGTAATCCCATATTGAGACATAATCCTGATTGTCGCATACAACTAAAGCGTTCTCGTACGAATGRAATTTCAGCATAGATGTCATCTTCACGCCACCAGTGTTTCTCAACAATTGTTTTTCTTTCAACCTCAGCTCACTTTGTAAGAAGATATCAGTATCCTCGTTTCCATTGCTGTCGTCTTCAAGGAGCATATTGATGCTTCCCTGTTGAMTATTATCCCTTCGTGGCTTGAGTCCTTCAAAATGCTTTGAAATTTTGCGGCCATTCTCCCGTACAATAGCGTTGCGCCGATGCTGGTAATTTCTTGCAGCTTCCGAAGGGTTCAATGGATCTCGATCTTCGACGTCCTCGTCATCATAGTCGGGTCTGAAAATTGATTTTTTCCACTTGTAMAATTGCGATTTAGGTAGTAGATTCTCTGCTTTRACACGATCCATCAAATTCCGTCCCGGCATTACAAGAGATGGTGCACTTTTAGGATCTCCAATTTGAACTGATGGAAAATTACCTCCTGGTACTTCGGAAGAGGAACGTCGTAGTGGATAAGGTTTCGGTTTGATTGTTGGTAAACGATTCGAAGGGCCATCGCTTTGAGGCAACACTCGTAAGCTCTTCGTTCTTTGATCCGGAGATGTCAACGATATATTTGCATCTGATTTAACACGATCCAAGCTATCCCCTCCAGTCTCCCCCTCTTCCTGGATTCCAGATAACTCGCTCTTCAYTCTATTTCTATCTTTYGCCGCGTCCAATTCTATACGCATATCATATAAAGTTTCGTGAACTACGCGTACAATTTTGTTTGCGGCCCTTGAAACATTGGGATGGGGATCCTCGTGTTGCACTTTACGAAGTGCCTTCCAGCACTCTCCGAAACGATCCATAATCTTTTGATTTACTCCTTGTGGTAGTGAAACAACTCTAGTGCGACATTTTGTTGAATGTCTAGTGATACCATCCTCACCTTCGGCAATTTTTTCGAGCCGCATTGTGTCCATGAGTCGAGTCGCGTCCTCGGCAATAACCATAATTGCTTGAAGATATTTYTCCACGAAATTGCTGAGGGCCATAACGACCTCGTAGCGCACTATAGGACTGCCATCAGCCAGAACCTGGATCATAGACTCCATTACTTTCAAATCGAATAGGATTCGCCGSAGATCTTCATAAACTGTGGGACGACGACGCTGTTGCTGTTCCGCCAAATGTGGTGCAACTCTCATCTGCTTCATCATGATCGGCGAACCAACTGCGGAAGCGCCTATTCCTAGAGGAGATCCCACGATTGGCATGCCTACGGGGGCGGAACGAGTGACGTTTGAAGGAGTCATTATGCCAATAGGATTTCCTGCCGCAGGTCCAAGATAGCCTCCAATCGAAGGCTGGTTAGTCCTTTGAGGATGGAATAAGGCGCCTGGTTGTACTGCTCCGAGCTGAGGYCCAGAAGTCGCTCTCGTCATCAGGGGCTGTCCAGGGGCCAGGTGACYACCAATTCCTACCATTGGAACTCCAGGTGAGTGCTGTGGGGCCAATGCACCCAAGACAGGTGTAACCTGTGGTACCCCTTGTTGTTGCTGCACACCCCCTCGTTGCAACATTACTTGAGAAGAAAGCATCGGACTCACACCAGGCATAACTTGTGGTGCACCCTGTATTTTTTGTGGTATCGGGTTTTGGATTTGCTGTTGCTGTACTCCTGCTGTTAGCCCCTTTTGTCCCATTCCATGCGAAACTAGATTTTGATTTGAAGCAAGTTGCTGCTGTGTTGGAGGAGCAAGTCCTCCACGTGCCATAGCTGCCGCCAGAGCAGCTGATGCTGGTCCTTGATTCATTGAAATGCTTGGGTTCTGTTGGAGCTGCCCCGGGAATGCATTTACTGCCGCTAAAGTCGAAGCGACCGGCATTCCGGGTGAGGAAATTGGACTAGGCAAAAAMATTTGCTGCTGCTGCGGCTGTCGTGACTGCAACTGCCCTTGAGGCATAAGCATACCTTGGCCTGAGTTAGAGAAGGCTTGAGRTCCCAGACTTATCGGAGTTGGTGATCCAATGCCAGGTGGATTCATGGTCGAAGGAGGTGGTGGATTCTGCTGTAATCTATTCCGTGACAATGATGATGATAATGTAGATGACGATAAATTATTTGACGACGGTAAAGAAGCGTGTTCSAAAAGATTYCCGAGTGCATATGTTGCAGCCGCCCTAACRTTTGGATTTTTGTCTTGCTGTTGTAGCGTTATGAGCAGGTCATGCATGTCGATGTCGTAGGCTTGGGCTTGGGCGAMATGAAAAGCCTGCACAAGATTGCCCAAGCACATACAGATCCACTCACAGGCAACGGGAGGCAATAGAACAAATCGAGTTGCATCTTCGGATGCCCGGCGAGATGTCTGCTCTTGTTCCTTTAGTTGTTGTTCTTGTTGTTCTCGCAATTTGATCTGTGCCGAGAGCAAAACGGCGCAGCTCCCGTGCAAATTTTGACGGAGGCATTCACTCTGAGCGGTGGAATATTTAAAGCACAAAGAAGCTAGACAAAAGGCATTAAGAGTACGTTGTTTTGCTGCCTCTGGGGTGTGTTGATGAGAGGCACCTGCTGTCTCTTTGGTCCTTTCGGAAAGKTGTGCCAAGGGTTTAATGAAATGCTTCAGTGCTTTGTCCTTTGAAAGATCCACTTGACAAGACGGGTCGAATTTGAGAATCGAGGCCCAAATATGGACAAGCACAGTTTTGTATTCGGCACTTTGTAATAATTTCCCGACRTATGGAAAGATACCCAAACTTAACGCCAGATTCACAGCCCACGGACCMAATGCCAAAAACTGGCGCAGTAATTCTAGGGCCCGTACTCTATGAGTTTGTGATAATAACACTTGTAAGACTATGGGCAACTGTTCGGGCGGATGCAAGTGCTCGATATTACCTTTGTGAATCACAGCGTACTCCATCCACACCTCAAAGCCTGTTAATTGTTCGGAGAAAAACGGAGATGAAAGCGAAGAGCTTGTATGCGCGGAAATAGGTCTTGGGATGCGTGGTTGCTGCAACTTCCTTATTTGCTCAGCTTGCTGTTGCCACTGACGAGGATGCAGTCGATCCCTATCGCCGAGTCCTGTGGTAGGGCCATCGCCCAATATCCCGTCCTTGATCAAACCAAAGAGGCATGTYTCACATGCAAGATCCCAGGCTTGCCAGAGAGGATGATCGGCTACACCCGGAGGAAGGGGTGGATAGGATTGCGGTGTACAGTTCAAATTTCGTAGGATCCGATCTGCCAACAAGAAATTTCGAAACATACTCGCGACAAGTAAATCTTGTCGGAATAATCGCTGAAACAAAGGTTTGGGYAGCACTGTCGTAGAAAAGGAAAACGAGAAAAACAAGCGAAAAGAGCCTTATGAGTTTCCTCTGGAATGAAATATGCATTTTTGACAGCATCATCCATACGGTGGTGTTTGYTACGACGACGGGTGGATAKATCACCATTTAAAATCAATCGAGGCCAACTCACCATTCCAYGCGATAGAATCTGTCACAGACGTGAAAATCCAGTTTAGTTCTCCCAGGGGGGTCTTTCTATCGTTGGCCTGTCCCGGAATCGAGTCAACCCAGAAGTCGGGTCCGAAATCGGAATCCTTCTGGTTGAAGAGCATCTCCATGCTGATGCGGTTGTTCCGAACAAACCACCTTAAGGCCATCTGGATAGGTGTCGTTAGGCATGATGTGAAGATATCAGCTGGGTATTCTGGGTTCATTGGCAGCCATTCTCCCTCGCTGGTTGGACACAAAACGATCGTATCCTTCACCCAGTGGGAAGCGGCCTCGTCCATGTTTGTGATGATCGGATCATCCTCGGGAACCGCTCGGCCAAAGTGCGAAGAGGAAGCAGCACCACCTGCGTTGGATGAATTCAAAATCGGGGAGGGCATTCGAGGTGGTGTGTTGGTGGGAGTTTCYGCGGGGGGAGCCGTCAGAAAGGGAATTAGAATYCCGGCCGACGAGCAGTCCAGGATTACGATGGTGGGCTTCCCAACCCACTGCCTTAGGTCGGATACCGACAGTGGTATATACTCCGTGTGACACTTGTCAAAGACCCAAATCTCACCGTTCGGGGTTGGTCGAGGGACCCCGTGGCCGTTRTAATGAAGCAGGATCCGTTCGTGCCGCGCTTGCTTTCGGAGCCACAGGCACAGTGCCCGGACGTCTTCGACAGTGGGATCTAGGGTCTTTCGATACTTGAAGGGCCGACTAGAGTTGTTCGAGCTCGAAGATGAGGAACTACTACCACCCCGCTGCTGTTGCCATCGGGCATACTGYTTCTCCAGTCGTTCCCCGATCTTTTCCTTGGCCTTTGCACGCGTGACGCTAGAGGGGTCGAGCCAGCACTGAAGCTTGGCGCAAGGGTGAGGCTTGATAACATCAGGMGGATCAGTCCCGACATTCAGAGCCATGATTAGGCCTACCCCCACTGTTTTCATTCGATCCCGAAGTCTCCAGCTGGGTTTGGTTTCGATGGGAGATGGCGGCRAAGATGTTTCTGCTGCTGCCGAGAGTGGTCGTTCGGGGTGMGGATRCTTTCCAGCCATATTCATGTTCCGGAGGTACTGGTGGTGGCGATAGTTCCGATGGTTAGGATTGTTGTAAATCTTATCATAGCTACTGCCYTTATAATACTGATTGAGCATTGACGATGAAGAAGATCCTTTGAGTCCGGAAGTGCCGCCGTTCTTGCCCATCGCAGTGTCGGAAATGGCGCCATTGGTAGATTTTATATTCGAATCCCCAGGAGCTTTCCCCCTCCCAAGGGCAGAGAGAGTCGACGAGGACATGATAGAACTCAAGGAGGTTACCCGCTGCAAAACAGATACATTGCCTTTCTGTGCGTTTGCCGTTTCCCCTCCCGCAGCATCGGCTTCCTCGGAATTGCTCGTTTTGCCAGTGGCTGCGTCCTTTCCATCTTCCGACTTGCCAATTGTTGTTGCGTTGGAAGAACCATCGGTTGAGTGGAGATTGTTCTCGYTGTTGCTATTTCCGCTGCTGTTTTTGTTCGTGGAGACAGCCTYCAGATACGGAGGAACTGTGGGGATCTTGGAATCGTCAAGGTATACGGTGTCCAACGGATGTTGGTGATGCAGTTGCGAATAACAACTGCCTCCTCTGAGAGATGGCCTCARTCCGTCACTGCCAGCATARCCGAAATCTCCGCCGTAGTCATAGGAATGTCGAGGAATTCCAAGTGGATATTGCTGCGATCTCCCTCCTTGACKTCGACGCAGCGACATGGCGATTCTGTTTTTGAGTCGAGAAGTTGAACAGCACGAATAGTCAGCTAGTCGGTCAACTTCAGACCAGATCTAAAGGTGAGGGTTWTGATTCTTCCTACGAAATCAAAAGGGATCTCCTTATGGAGTTAGAKGCATGACATGAAGGAGGGCAAAATGAGGGCAGTCCAACAGACACTTCATGTGTCGTGTTTTCGTGCAGTTGTGAACTCAAATTGGATCCATCATGCATTCTTTCATTTTTTCGTTACTGTAATTTTTAGAAGACCCCTTTCAAGAAGTAGCGTAGCAGCGGACAGCGCATGTCGCGGGACCACGGGTACGAAGTAACGGTACGAGTTACGAGTACTAGAGGTCGATACGCCGTCATACGTTTGGATCACGTAGCGGCCGGTACATCAAGCTTGATGCCCTACAACTTGTATCATATGAATCATATGAACGTAAGGAACGTATCTACGAAGAAGTACTAGGTTTTTTCTTGCTAGATTTCTTTCGTGCTTTGCCGTACGGTACTGTACGGTACCAGTACGTACGTGTGGTACGTGTGAACAAGAAGGGATATGAAGGACTAAATATTTATCGTGAGAACTGCAGTAGTTTTTATCCCTCCTAGCTGGATGTAATCATCTATATCATTATATATTGATGTCAATAGTGAAAAGACTGACAATACYGTCCGCGCTCTACGACCTCTCCGAGGAATATGCTCTCGTGCAACGCAAGAGATCCGAGAAGATTCCGGCGGCGGCGAGGCCAGGACCGGCGGCGGCACCCTTCACGATGAGGGGTGAGTCCGTGTAGAGATCCGTTTCGAAAGCAACGAGGTTTTCAGTATTTTTCAATCGGTACAGCGGATCCAAGYTATCAACGGCCTCGAGGAAACACCGGCACTTTCCACTGTCCTTCTCGATTTCGAACTTGTATCGAAGCTTGCGGCCATCGGCTTCGGCCGCCTTGTATTTTTCCAGCATACCTTCGTCAAGCACTTTCAAATCGTCTAYCGTAAGGTCTGCCTTGGAAGCCAAGTCTTCTGGAAGCATGGACTCGCGTTCGACATCATCGATTTCGATATCCATGCCGAGCTGCCGTGCCAGGATCACGATCTTGCGGGCCACGTCGATCCCCATCAGGTCCTCGCGAAGGTCTTTTTCGGTGAATCCCATTTCCATAGCACGGCCAAAGGCCTCAGAAAACGACGTCTCTTCGTCAAGCAAACTCAGARCGTATGCGAAGGTTCCACTAACGCAACCCCGGATCTTGTTGACAGAATCCCCTGTCTCGATGAGATCACGTAGAGTGGTGAGGACAGGGAGAGCCGATCCGACACTACTCTCGTATTGCCAGTTGACAAAGTTTCCCTTCTGGACATCAATGACCTTTTTGTAGGTTTCGAGGGGTCCAGCGGCGACGTTGCGACTGGGACTGATGAGATCGATTCCAAGTGACATCCATCGCTCGTAATATTGAGCAACCTCCTGGCTGTTGGTCATGTCAATAATGACACGGTGTGGATTGACATCCGCTTCAATTTCTTCTGTGAGTTTCTCGAGGTTCAGATCCACAGTGTCTTCGTCGTCCTCGCTCGACAATTTTGAGATGAGGGAATCCATGGAAAGGCCTTTGGCGTTCTTGGCGATCGACATCTTCTTCGAGTTTGCACTGATCATRACACGCGGACAAACACCGAGTCYATCGATCAACGTGCGGCGTTGCTTTTCGAGCGCATTGATAAACGTGGATCCAATGGCTCCAGTGGTTCCCAAAAGGGTGATACTGGCAGTGGTGTCGGACAACGTGAAGGCCTGGTGGGCCGCACGCAAGGCACGAGTCGTGTCGTCTTTATCAACGACTACCGCAATCTGTCGCTCCGAAGATCCYTGTGCAATTAAGCGGATGTTGACGTTGGCTTTGGAAAGGGAACCCATAAGTGTGGATGAAATACCCGAAGAATACGCCATGCCTTCTCCAACAATAGCGACGATGGACACACCCTTGCACAACGAAATGGATCCCACMGTCGATCGAGCCAATTCTAATTCRAAGGACGATTGAAGGGCATTGATTGCCTTTTGACCCTCATTTTCGGGGACKGCGATGCAAATGGACGATTCACTGCTGGCTTGCGTAATAATCAAAACATTGATGTCGTTGTCGGCCATGGCACCCATGAATTTCTCGGCCACGTTCGATCCACCGATGGTAGAAGCACCCTCTAGCGTCACAAGGGCCACGGAATCTACCGAAGTGATTCCTTTGATGGGGATTTCTCCCTTTTTGGCCCGCCAATTTTTGACGGAACCTTCCTGGGATTTTTCCGCAAGGGATGGGCTTCTTCCCTGAACGACTGTTCCAGAGAAAGAAGGATTGAAAATATTGCGCACGTAGACCGGGATGCTATCATCGATGCAGGGTACCATAGCCGAGGGGTCTGTGATGYATTTGAGAAACAATAGAGAAAGCAAATCGATGAGATGCTGTTTTGGGGTGAAGGTTGAAACAAAATCGACGTTGCCAAATATTCCTGGTATGCGTTCAAAGATAGATGATACTTACGGAGAACCTGCGCACCAAAATATGCAAGCTCGAGGGCTTCGTCGTACTTCAGCGAGCCAATCGAAAATGCTTCTGGAACCCTTCGGGGATCGGCGGTGTAAACACCGTCGGTGTTTTTCCACATCGTCACCCGGGAGGCCCCGGTCAGCTTGGCAAAAATCGTAGCACTGTAATCACTTCCCGAGCGCTTCAGTGTGGTAGGGACCCCGTCGATGGTGGAGGCCACGAAACCGGTAACAACGATGATCGGAGAAATTCCGGACTGGTAGTCGCAATCGTGCATTCCCCTGTCCTTGGCCACGGTGTTCCACCAGTCCGAGAGCTGAGAGGTGGTTTCTTCCCAGAGGGGGACGACGCCGCCAGTGGAGGCCTCTCCCTTTTCACCGAGGCCGCTGCTGTCGGATTTCACGCGGAGAATGGGCCGGGCGTCGATCCATTCGGCCGGGATTTCCTGCTTGGTTTGCAAGTAGGCGTTGAGCGTTTGCGCCGACCAGATTTCTCCATATCCGGTGACAACTTCCATGGTCACGGATGGAACGGTGTTGATCATTCTCAAGCTCTGTACCAACAACAGAATGTCGTTGGCGTCGTTCCGGATGTTGGCCTCGATTGGATCCGTGACAGATGGCGGCGCCAGTTCGGTCAGGATACTGATCTGTCCTTCGATGGCTTCCATCAAGACAGTTTTGGCGGCTGCAAGATCGAYGAGGGCCGAATCGACCACCTTGACGAGCAAGTCGGTCATTCCGCCCCTTGCACTAACAACGGCCATGGTTGGAACGGCACCCTTGCCCTCGTTGTTTTCTTTGCGGGTTCCCGAAGCCTCGGCGATCAGAAGATCCCCAACCGTTTTATAGAGTTCGGCGGTCGCGAGAGACGCCCCCCCGAATTTGTGCACCTCCCAGGCGTTTTGTGATCCCTTGGGGGAGACGATGTTTTCCGCGCTGGCGTCGATAGCGAAGTCTACATCGGTGAGATCGGCCGCAACCGAGAGCTGTGTGGTGGCAACAGCYGTTTGAGACGATGTCTTTCTAGCGGAGAGTGCGGCGTACCGTCCGGGAGAAAAGGCCTCGGCAAAGGGAAGAGAAAGCGCAGCTAGCGCGACAACACCGCAAAACCGCATCTTTTTGACGTATGCGTACTATTGTTTAGTGTTTGCGACTACAGGAAGTTAGTATAGTGCAGTCTCTGTTTGCAGGATATAGTCTTTCTTAGTATTGAACAGTGTAGATTGACAATAACGAATTCGGGATCGGAATTTGCTACTGCACGATGTAAGGCCGGTAAGGAAAGGAAAGAAGAGAAAGAAGATCCATTGCACTTTTTAATCGGCAGCTTACCGTTGACGAGGCAGCTGCGGGGCGCCAACACAAACAACTGCACGAAGTTTTTCTTCCTCGTGATTTGCAAAAAATATCGGATCACGGMATTTCTTTTTCTGGTCGTAGTGTAACGTATCATTGTACGGTGTTGCGCKACGCTTCGGCAACGAAATTGCGTGCGTATTTGGCCCGGTCGTGGTSGTCAGTCTTCGTACGTTTAAAATCTCAATATTTGTGGGCCATGAATGGTTTGGGATTTTCGAGCACCTCCGGTCCGCCTATATTGGAGTTTCACAGGCACATCTTTTTGCATACGATCCAAGGGCGTTGAAGAACATCGGAGCTTCTCTGGGTGCCAAGGGAATTAAAATWATTTGATTTTGAACAAGAAATAGTGATGGGTGGAAAAAGTCAAAGTATGTATCATAGATATGCTATGAATGTATTCTATCAAGGTAAGAGTGAGGATCACCAATCGTGCAAGGATCTGGCACACACGTACAGCACGCTCTTTTAGTACTCGTACKAGTACGACAGATGCACGTCATCGACGACGTCGCGACAGATTTTGTTTCACTGTYAAATTGCYKAMGWGACAGATTKTGTWGTCAGAAACACGCGACGAWAAGTGAAGRCTTCAGGCCATTCCTAAGAATAAAGTAGCAACTGCAGCGACACTCCTCGTGCTGCTTATSCTTCCACTKAAGTCCTTTCATACTTTTTCTGTGCTTTAAAAGTCGAAAGATAACCCTTGCTTTGATACATTGACAACAASAAACGTAGAAMATATYTCATCCCGACATGATTTCGACCTTGGGAATTCGCACCACCGCAATCGCCCCCTTGGCAATTGTCGCGCTCTTCGTTGTTCTTATCGTTTCGTCGGATCCCACCAGTGCTACCGCAACCACAAGCAGCACTCCCGTTCTTGGATGCGAAACAAAAGACTCTTTAGGATGCGGAGATATCATCATGCTCGAAGACTTCACAAATCCGCGGCACAAGTGGAAAGAAATGAACGATCCGGGTGCGTACAGCATTGGAACGGATCGATSRATCGATCAATCGATGTTCTTTTTCAGTGATACTCGATGTCACACTATATCTTGCCTGATGCTGWTGCATTTCCCTCAACTTTCTTGCTCCTGTCCCGAAAAATATTCTTGTTCTGTCGCTCATATTCACGATTTCGTGTAACRCAAAAATTCCRTGCCAAACCATTTTGTTCCGTGGAACAGTCATGGGAGGAAAATCGACCGGAACCTTCACGGTCGATACCGACCAAAAGGTAGGGATCTTTCACGGCTCGGTCGAAATAGTATCSTTTCTCGATGCWCCCGGATTCGTCAAGGCCGAAACCACACGCGGCGAATCCTGGCCCGACGTTTCCACATGCAACGGGCTGAGGTTTGCCTTGAAGTCATCGACACCATCCTACAAGGGATTCCGTGTCAGCTTTGGTCACAAGCGGCCCCCGGGTTCCTTTCCGTACAYTTACGGATTCAAGACCGACCTCCACCTACCGGAGAGCGACGGAACAGACGAAGATGAATTCCAGCAGATCGAGCTCCCATTTGACTCCTTTACCGACAAGTGGGACGCCGGGAGCGGGGACGCGATTGTCACCTGCAAAGAAAACAATGAGTTCTGCCCGGACGCTGAGTCGCTGAAGGATCTTTACTCCATCGGCGTGTGGGGGGAAGGCGTCGAGGGAATCGTCGATTTGCAGATTCGGTCTATTTCTGCCTACGGATGCGCCAGCGACGACGCAAACAACAGCAGCGACGCCAGCGACGACGGTGAAGACGAATCTTCGGTCGTTGCGATCGAAGACTTTTCCGACCCTAAGCATGAATGGAGGACCATGAACGATCCCGTCATGGGGGGTCAGTCCGAGTCATCTCTGGAGCTCCACGATGGAATGGCGTCCTTCGAGGGAACCTGTGCCATTGTTCCCTTCTTGCACGCTCCGGGGTTCATTACCATGACCACTGGTGCACACTATGGCCCGGGCAATCCTTTCAAGTCATTGTTCCGCCGCTCGACGACCAACAATAGCAACAAAGGCGAGTCTTCCTTTCCCGATGTTTCTTCCTGCAAGGCCCTCTCGATCACGGTCCGGAGCCGCGACGCGGACACGTACGAGGGATACTACGTGAGTTTCGGCACCGACCGCGTTCCCGGGGGGCACCACGCCATGGGCTACAAAAYCCACTTTACCGTTGATAGCAACAACGAGTTTGTGGAGCTGACCCTGCCCTTTTCCGACTTYAGCGCGCACTGGGACGATGCCACCGGAAAGACCACGGTRACCTGCGAGGAAGATCCAGCGGTGTGCCCCACCATCGAAACCCTCAGAGACATGAAGACCATCTCGTTCTGGGCCGAGGGCGTCGAGGGAACGATCGCCCTGGAYATCAAGTACATTGGTGCCTCTGGTTGCGACGGCGAGCCAGCCCCTGGGGTCAGCGCGGCGGCGGGAATGGTGGTCGGAGGGGCCCTGTCGAACACCGGCATCGAGCGGCCGTGCTCTCTGGGAATGCTGGCAATGGTTTCTGTATTGGTCCTATTGGTGGCACGCTCCCGCGGCCGCAGGGGTTCTCGGGTATCGCAGTCTTCYGAGTATGTGGAAGTCAAGCAACAAGCGATCKTTGTGTAGGGTTCCGATCCGGCCCCACGAGCAAGCAAATCGAACTAGACTTTTGTTTCCGTACACATTTTGTTTGCACCTCTGYAATTTGATCTGTAACTTCGTGTAGTATTTAACGAGCCTAAAATTAACCCCAAATCCCAAACTACTAAAACAGCWTTAGTCCAAGATTRACCATCTCAGACCATGGCCTAGTTCCTTTGACAATGTACMCTCATCCGGCATGGAGGAATTGGAAACTGATCGAATGATACCGAACAAAAAATCGAAACCAAAATCGATTCTGTGATGCCTGGTGAGGGGTCGGGCCGGCAGCATTTTGTATAGTGCAGTTTTCCCGAAAGAATCCTGTGCATCATGGAAAGGAGCTTCTAGCCGTTTTCTATGGTTTTTGAAAATGAAGATAAAGCACGTAGCATGCATTGATTTGTCGGATGACACTATCGTATAAAAGAGCCCTGATCGTTTCACTCGAAACACGCAATTCATGCACGGAGCACAGAGTGCTGGTTGTGTTGCAGTGGGTGTTTGCAMTTTCAAAATCGGTTCCCCCAGTTTTGGGTGGGGTGGAATGGGGTGGGGYGGGCGTTGCTCTGTGTGGCCCGTTCCTTGCTCACTGCACCGCGCAGCACGAGCGCGCCTCGCTCTCGCACACCAGGGCGGAGCAGACCGCCTGGCAGGGCGTCAGGCCCGAGGACCCGCGCTGCCACCGGTTGACGACGGAGTGYGGATCGTTCCTCTGGATGGCCAGGACGGCATCCCCCGACAGGGCCCGTCCGCTCGCCGTGTCGACCACCACGACCGCCGGGACCTTTCCCACCCCGCCCAGAAGCGCGAGGAGCGTCCCCGTCCGGGGGTTGCTTCCGCTTGTGCAAGGCAGAACGGCAAAGCCGGTCCCGCGGCAAAAGCGGGAGGTTCCCTCGCTGTCCTTGTGGTTGTTGTTGTTGCCGCTGTTGCTGCTGCCGCTGTTGCAAAAACCGGTTTCCTCGTCGCAAAAGGGCAGCGGAATGTCCCCGCCGCCTCCGCATCCATCGGTGAGGTCTACCACAAAGGTGCTCATAACGTCGTGGTAGTCGGTTGCGAGGAGTTTTCGCAGGGCCAGCGTGTGGGCCGAATAATAGAACCGGTCGCCCACGCCGGTGTCGGTGTCGCCGGCCTTGGTTCCGGCCCTTCGCCATCCCTGGATCACAAAGAACGCGACAAACCGGTGCCGATTGACGACATCGRCAAAGGGCATYGATGCAGACGAAARCTGTAGGAGTTGAAGCTGCTCCTGCACAACCGCATTGTTGGTTCCACCGCATTCCTCGTCGGCATGGACGGCCGATGTTTGGTSTGTCATGGACCTTCGTGTTCTCCTCCTTCGTTTCTTTTGCAGTTCCAGCTGGCTTGCTCGCAGGGTTTCTCCGTGGTACCGATAGACGGACACGGTGGCGTTTTCGACCGGATTGGCATTGGCACTCCTCTCGCCACCGCTTCCGTATGGGAATGCCCCTGTGGGCCCYTTCCCGATCTGCCCCTGGATGAGTTTCAGCAACCCACGGATTGGTTTCCGTCGCGGAGCACTTCCTATCGTAGCTGCCGCAACTGCCGTGGTTGCACGACCTCCTTGTGAGTGACCGCCATCCGATGCGGTCCGTCGCGGGGGACCACATGGGCGGGCCGTGTTGTTGTTTGGGTCGCCTCCTCGGCGCAGCATCTGTTTTCTTATTGCGGATCAAACAACCGTGGAGCAATCTAYCGAYCAAACTTTGGAGGAAGTGCTSAATCAGAATGGATTGAAATCGAATCGACGCGAATCTCGATGAGATAGAACAAGAAATAGGATAGTATTCAATTCGCTAGGAGGATTGTCGTCTGTGAAGTTTTCTATGATACTATTTTGTTTTGATTATCCTTTGCGTTCATGTTCCTTTCCTCTTGACATTTACTGTACGTAGTATTCTGCAACCCTACGGTAGGTATAGCTCTAGTGCACTCGCCGTAGTACTCGAATGTACTACTCATACTCTAATACTACGTACTCATAACACCAGTAGTTCACGAAGAGACAGGAAAAGAAAAAGGCGAGAAAAGATCGCCTCTCTCACTTTCCCGTTTTTTTGAGTCACGGTTGCCGGGAACAAACTATGCCACGTGGAAGTATAAGGGAGCTCGTGAACCAGTTTTCCATCCATCAGTCAACAATCACCAAACAAACAAAACTTCGATGGGAAAAGTGAGTTTTTTGTTTTGGTTTGTGATTGGTCTTCTTCGGTGGCAGTGAAAGTCGAAGGCACTGTATTAGGAATGAGTGTTCAATAATAATCTGAACCCTGACAAAAAAGTGCTGTTTTTGGTTTTTGATATTTCGACTTCCATGATTTCRAACGAACAGAACCGATTCAGTAGTACTATTTGCTATTTGTCTATTGTCTTGTCTAGGGAGGASAGAAGAGACCACAACGCCACGAGACGGGACGGGATGAGACACTAACCATGGGCGATAGAAMCTACAAGAACAAGGAGGAAAAGGATGCAAAGGCGCCGAGTGACAGCGCCCTCACCGACGATGGCAACGGCGAAACCAACAATGACAACGGGTGCTGTTACAAGCGAGCCGCCCTGGCCYTCCACCAAGCCGACTACTTRTTGATTCTGGCGGGTGCCGGTATGTCGGCCGATTCCGGCCTGAAGACCTACGAGACCATGCCAGACCGATACAGGCAACTCTGCGATCCAGCCCGAATGGCCACCATGGACGACAACAACTACAATTATTGCCACGAATTCCAACAATTCTGGTACGACTTTGCGGTCCGGTATGCCGACACCCAGCCCCACAGRGGCTATGACATCCTGGACCAATGGTGCCACGGGGGAAAACTAAAGCGGCTCTCGAAACAAKACCATACGTGTTCCGGGAGCGAAACAGAAACACCCAAGGGAACGAATGACAAGCAAGAATCTAATGCGGTAKCAGGTCGCTCTTCCCTGGAAGGCCACAAGTGGTGGGTCTACACGTCGAACGTGGACGGACACTTTCGCCGGTATCCCAGCTGGGGCCCATGGAACAACGAGGAAGATAAAAGCAGTAACAATAGCAACAGCAACGTCAGCAGCAACGTATGCGAAATCCACGGATACGCCGGGGTCTTTCGATGTTCTTGTGGAATCGGATACGCGGGCGGCATCGGCCCGGAACGCTTTCCGAGAATGGGACCCCCGTGGAACCAATGGAACCAAAGGGTCGATGAATGCCCGACGGTAACACAAAAGTGTCATTTCGAGACCGAATCCCTGCAGGAACTCCTGCAACGGACAGCGATCAGCAGCAGCAGCAGCAGCAGCAGCAACAACAACAACAATATCAATCCACAAGAGCAACCACAACCACGACAGCGACTCCTATTGTGCAAGAACTGCGGGACCCTCCCCCTCCGGCCGAACGTCTTGCTCTTCAACGATACCGACGAAAACGTCTTGGTCCCCATCCAGCGCCAGCGGGACCTGTACCAGGACTGGGAGGCCATGGTTGAGGACAGGGTGTGCCACGAGAAGAAACGCCTGGTGCTGGTGGAGCTCGGGTGCGGGAAGACGGTTCCCGCCGTCCGACAGGAGAGCGAGGACGTTCTGCGGGAYGCCACGGACCTGCTGCGGTGCGKTGGCAGCGGGACRCAGGACGGYGGCCGTGGCGACGACGACGAAGCCGCTGCCCCGGTCACGCTCGTCCGCATCAACCCGAGGGACGCGGAACCCGACGGACGCCACAACGCGTCGAGCGTGGTGTCGATTTTCGACACGTCGCTCCGGGCCCTGGAGCGGATCGACCGCGAGCTGGACGCCCTGCTGTGATGACATGGGATGGGATGGGATGGGATCGAATGCGGTGCAACGCGGTTTCTCCCCTCTCGAATGGAACCAAAAACAAATCTACAACAGAACACAACAAACAACAAACAACAAACAACAAACAACAAACAACAAACAACAAACAACAAACAACAAACAACAAACAACAAACAACAAACAACAAACAACAAACATAGCAACGATCCGCGAACGAAACCATATTTTGATCTTTTTCCAATCGAATCCCATTTCGTGGACCTTTCATTTGTAGCCATTCCGAAACGTTCAGGGCGGCGTGTAGGCACCAATCACTACGGAGACAAGGCTATGCGCCATGGCACGGGGAAGGGGACCAGAAGTGAACCGCAAAAACCCACGGCCAGAGTTATTTGTGTAGTGAACTCTCTACTTGTTTTACTTCTTTTGTTACGAGCAACAAATGTAAAGATAATCGCAAAAGCAAATCYAGGTTTTTCCTGGGGATTTTGTCGCAGTACCTTCTGGTAGACTGACCGGATGCTAGAATCTAGGATACGTCGACTGATCTGTCTGTCAGTCGACAGATATTTCATCGAATTTTGAATTTTAAATTGCCCCTCAGCAGCAAGAACGAGTTCCTACGATGAAGTTATACTTTTCTCAACTTTGCGATGAAAAATACAAAATAAATTATCGTTCACCCCCGTGCTGGACCGTGCGTATCGTGTCGTAGTTTCGTACCTGAAGAGAATTTTTTTATGGGAAACAATGATACGTTGTTGTGATACAACATAGTAAGGCAAACAAACTTAAGACACCGCCACGGCAGTGCTACTTCTAAAAGGCAACTATCACAACACGCAGCAACTGCGTAGCAAGCAAACAAATCATGTCTTCCACACCGCCGCCGCCCCCGCCGCCGCCCCCGGCTTCTTCCCGCCGAAAGCGATCCAGCGAGACCCCCGTGACAAGCGCCAACCGAAGCAACGACGCCGAAGGGGGCTTGCTGTCGCCCAAGTCAACCTTTTCGCAGCCACTTCTGTATTCCACGAACGTCGGCAATGATTCCGCTGCGGTTGGAAGCACCACCAAGCTCCGGGTCCGGATCAAGTCCTTCCACGGGGTCGCCAGGTGGACGTGGAACGTCGGTAACGGAAGCGACGACGAGGTCTGYGGGATCTGCCAGTCGGCCTTCGAGGGGTGCCCACCGGGGGTCAAGTACCCAGGAGACGARTCCCCGGTGGTCTTTGGGACCTGYGGTGYGTTGCGCYTATTGCGTTTGTTCACTGTTGCGTGTATTGGTATTTTCCATTATGCGGTGCGCTGCATCGCATTTTGTTKCGTAGTTGTGTCTGTTCGTGCCRAAAAYACTTCTTATCCCAATTTTTCGTGTGTTCCGTTTTCATCCGCTGCATCCCGTCCGAACCGATCGCGGCACAGGTCACGCCTTTCACCTGCAGTGCGTGGCGACCTGGCTCAATTCGAACAAGCAAACCTGCCCGATCTGCCGTGCCGAGTGGGAGTACGGAAACTCCGGGGATCAGCAGCAATCGCAATCGCAGCAGTCGCAACCCAGCGGGACAGCTCCCGCCAATCAAACTRCGGGAGAAAGCGGTGGTCCTCCGTAAGAAAACCYATCAATCACTACGCTGGCATTTCCTGTGGATGGAACTAAGAAAGAAAAGATCAAATCTATTCCATTTCGTGTACATGATGACATGCGATACGGCTCAAATTGATATTGATCTGTGGACGCGTGGATGATATGGATTCAATTAAGTTCTCACAACAACTTGGCAGAATCGGAGAGTCCTCCCTTGATACACCCCTTCGCATCAACGAAGGCACCTTACCTCAAACATTTGGTTGGTCCTTTTGCAACACGGTCCGAATGACTCCCATAGTAGGCCGGCCATGCTTAATCCATTAGGCAAGGTGCACATTTTTGACCGACCCCTGACAAATTCAAAACAATCGACTCTTCGGATTGGTTGTCCACATGTCTAGGKYGCAGTTGCGTATTGCATTATTTTCTTTTCCCCCGATGATGCAAATTTCGAATACAGAAATCTGCTATGGTATTGCAACGAAATCAAATGCGATAGGACAGAGCAAACCGTAACGAAAAATCCAAGGGTTCGCTTCTCTGTTGCAGGGAAAGGCAATTTGACCGTGCGAAACCTCAAAAAAAGGCATCTAAAAAATGCAGTGCTACTTGAAACTCGTAATGGCGCCGAAAGAAARGCTCGCAACTAACATCGATAGAGATATCCGAAAAGCCGTAGCGAAACAAAGAACATATCCGGAGAACTAATGAACGAACCAATAGTCGTTGCAATCTTCAAAAGTAAAGCAACGCCATGGCAGTACGAGGTACAAAACGCATGGAATAMATTTACCTGTACTAAATGATTTCTATATTGTAACTACTCTAAGGTATTCTTGACATTTKCACTGTTTCCGGTTTTGCCGCACCACATTCATTTCGCCGGATTGCMGACGTATTCTTTTGCTTGCGGTTAGAAATCGAACTGTGCCAGGGCAAAGGCAAAGGCGTGGATCGCATCGAACGGGGCACCAAAGTCGACGTTGAACTCGTTGTCCTTCCACTTGACCATCTGCAGGCAGCAACCGCCGCTGCCGTTTCTGCTTTCCCGGGAGGCRGCRCTCGTGCTTGTGKCGGATCCCACCAGCTGCATGTTCTTGCCCGAGGTCTCCCTGCCCCGGCCTCCAAAGTCCAAGACCCGCTGGCCGCCCGTTTGGCGGCTGGGTTCCTTCGTCTCGACCGGTGGCCGTCCCGCGATGCGGACCTGTGCGTACCGGGGGCGGCCTCCCTCCACCAGGGACCGGGCGACGCTCACCTTTTCGTACTCGATGCTTGCCACCGGGGTCTTCCGGGAGCTGGCCTTGTCGTGGAGGACGAGCTCGTAGGAGATGACGACGGCCTTCTTGCTGTTCTTGCGCCGCTTTGTAGTTTTCATGAGGGAGCCTAGGATCTCCTCAAACGGCTCGAAGCCGGAGTGGCGCGGTGGTGCTACACTCTTGAGAATGATCTGCCCGCCATCGGAGGGCGGGTACTTCTCGGCGCAGAACATCGGGTGGGCCCCGCTTTCGGCCGATTGCTGGTACATGATGAACCTAGTCTTGCTTTCGTCCCGGCGGATCATCGATTCCATGAAGAAACMATTCTTGCTCCGGGGGGTGTGGGCCTTTTCGATCGGGACTCGAAGGTCCAGCGACGCCGCACCCTCGTCGTAGGGAGTCGGCTCCTGACAAGGGACGCYGCGCTCGTTCTTCGCGAGGAGGAGGCYTTGTTCGGCGGTGTAGATGTTGGTGTCGTCGTCGGCCTCGGAAGAAGAGATGGAAAAGGTTCGAGATATCATCCCCTTGTTGMATTCACCCGAGAGAAAACCACGAGTTGASGTCCCATTCCGAAAAATCGCGACGCTGTTGCTGCTACTACCATTTGCGGTATCCATCGTTGTCGACAAGTTGTTCGTGTGTTGGCTCTCGAAGGAAGATGAACTTTCAGAAAAGAACAGAGAATGAAATTTATRAAAYGAAGCATTTCATATCCTTTGGCTTCGAACCGGTGGAAGGATGCTTCCTAGTTGCTTATCAGTCACCTTCATAGGCAGCGCAATTATAGGTTTTGGTTTCTTTTACAATTGTCGAATTTGGTTTTTCAGATATTTGCGTCAGGTTTTTTGAGAGATAGGTTCAAAACTAGTAATCGGATCAAATTTGTGTGACATCGAAAATCGAGAACAAAAAGTACCTACGTTATGCGCGAAAACTATGTTTTATGCGCATGCTATGCGTGATTGATTTGCTGAGTCAGTCACAGTTTTGAATAATTATTGTGGACAAAATGCTTTGCCGTCCACGCAAACCCAACACCCGCACCAGTCAATCAATTTTTCTTTCCTGAACAGAGTTTTCAAAACAAAATCCCCCTTATCCGATGTTATCATCAGTCTGTCTGCCGGCTCGTACGTAATACTACCCTTGTCAGGATGCATGATGCATGATGCATGATGCATGCTGATGGGTTGTTCCTTCCTGACGATTTCGAAAAAAGGAGATGATGGGTTCGATGTTCTCCTGTACGAGTACGAGTACCTGCTCTGAGTTCCTAGATAAATACTAGTAATACTTCTAGCAGTAGTAGACGATGTTACTTCATGAACCCAAATTGAATGCAAACAATACAAAACACACTTTCTCGTTACAACTACCGACTTCTTAAAAATTCGACACTTGGCTAGATGAACTAAGTTCGCTTGGCGTTGTCAATGAAGTCGACAACAACGATGGGGCGTTTCACGCCATTCATCTATGTGTCCGYCCTTCTGCTCCGGTTKGCGATGCAACCGGGGATCCTTTTGCTCAAGTTYGTATCGATTGCCACGAACAATGCGGATGGGTTTTCGACGACGAGGAACACACCGATGTGCTCGATAAGCTTTCGAAAGAACTTTGATTCGTCGATCAAAAACAATCCTTTCGCGTCATCGTCCGGGGCGTCGTCGCTGTTTTCCTCCCCGGCTGTTCAAGAAGAATTCTCCGATAAGCCAGTTTCGAACAGCAATCCAGAAACAACGGACGCTATAGATACCGCAGAGTTAAGAGAGGAAATAGAAAAGCTTGTGAAAAGCAAATCTTCCGTTGCGCCAATAAAAGCAACGAAGGTTCTCGACGAAATGTTTGAGTTTTATGMGGGTATGAATACAAACRGCACCACGAGTGTTGCCRCTGAGACGACAGAAAACGATGGGCCATCGTACGGACATGGAAGCAATACCACTAAAATATATACASCATTCAATGTCCACGATTGCACAAAGGTTATCGGCGCTTGGTCCAAATCGCGACACAAGAATGCTCCGAAGGAAGCACTCCGGATATTGAAGAAGATGAACRMAATCTACAAGAAGATTGGGGGCAAACACATCCGTCCGAATGTTGTAACGTATACATCTGTGATAGCGGCATACGCTCAGAGGGGAGATATCGATGGTGCTTCCACCGTGTTCGAGATGCAGGTGAACGATTTCAAAAACGAAAAGAATTACGCGGCCAAGCCAAACKCCCGAACCTTCAAAACCATGATCAATGCTTGCACAAAATCTCGTGAAAAGTACGCACCGGAAACTGCCGAAAAAATACTAGCAACGCTTAGTGATTGGTATGCCTGTGGACAACTGAAAGAAGGACCTTGCACAATTACCTACAGCAGCGTAATCAACTGTTGGACAAAGAGCAGCTTCGAGGAAAGTCCGGAACGGGCCCGGGCGCTCCTTGAAACGATGCTTTCCCAATACAAGGAAGGCAACACCAATGTCTGCCCTAATGGTATTACCTATGCGTCTGTACTGGATGCATAYGCACGATGGGGAAATGTTGAGGGCGCCATGGAGGTTTGGGAGATGATGAAGAACGACTACCGATCGGGGAACAAAGAGGCGCGGCCGGTGGTATACATGTACACGATCCTCATCAAAGCGTGGGCGAAGTCGGTTTACCCCTCCGCACCCTATGAAGCCGAAAAACTTCTCWTGGAAGTTATTGACTTGTACTCCAAGGGCGAGCTCGACGAAGGCCCAAACAATTTTACCTATGGAACACTGATCAATTGCTGGTAAGAAAACTCGATACCATGACATTGCTTCTCGCGACGATCGATCCTTTCGTTGAAATACATGATCTTACCTTTCTGTTTCCTCTTTTTGGATTCCTCGTYTTCGCAACAGGGCAAAGTCCCAATACAGCGAGGCCCCACAGCGCGCCCGTGAAATCTTAGAATCGATGATTGCCGAATACAAAAATGGCGACGAACGACTCATGCCGAATTCGGTGACCTACGGTGCGACCATGGATGCATTTGCGAGGAAGGGCGATACCAAGGGTGCCATGGAAATCTTCCAGATAATGAAAGAGGATTACGAGTCGGGCAACATTCGCGCGAAGGCCGATGTCAGGATATACGGAACTCTCATGAGTGCCCATGTTCGATCGGGGGACAAAAACGCACCACTGGAAGTCGAGAAACTCTTGATGGAGATGGTCGACCTCTATGCTAAAGGAGAGTTCACGGAAGGTCCCAATACGTTTATWTACGGCACTCTCATCAACTGCTGGAGCAAATCCGAGCTGCCCGAGGCACCGAGGCGTGCTCGAGAGATTCTCGAGGCGATGATCGCCCAGTACAAAAAGGGAGACAAGCATCTTACCCCGGATTCGATTATCTACAATTCCGTTCTRGACGCCTGCGCACGACAGGGAGACATCGAGGGGGCCAATGCCGTGAGGAAGCTGATGCAGGACGATTTCGACTCGGGAAACAAGCGCGCCGTACCGAATCTTCGAACCTACAGCATGCTCATCTACGCCCATAGCCGGGGCGGCAAGCCCAACGCACCGGCCGAGGCAGAGAAGCTACTGGTAGAAATGCACGACCTCTATTCCAGAGGAAAACTCAAAGAACCCCCCAACACGATCTCGCACAGCATAGTCATCAACTGCTGGGCAAAGTCCAATTTTCCCGAGGGCACCCAGCGTGCACGCGACATTCTGGAATCTATGCTGTCTCGGTGCAAAAACGGCACGAGCAACTGCAGGCCCAACGCAATMACGTACCACTCCGTCCTTGATGCCTACTCGAGACGGGGCGACATCGATGGTGCGAATGAGATCTGGAAGATCATGATGGACGACTTCCGATCGGGCAACGGGGCAGCCCGCCCGGAACGACAGACGTTTAGCATTCTCATCGACACCTGGTAAGTTTTCGAAAACGTGCATCAGTCCACCGATCGCGAGACGAGGCCCAGAGCGCAATGCTGACTATTGCTTCTTCTTTGCTCTTGCGGCATTCAGGTCAAAATCCGATAAGCAACAAGAGGCACCCATAGAAGCCGAGAAGTTGTTGCAGGACATGATCGATCAATACGAGAGGGGAGACATTTTAGAAGGCCCCGACGCCATAGTGTACTCCAGTGTCATCAACTGCTGGGCAAAATCGGGGCTTCCGGAAAGCCCGAAGCGAGCACGCGACATCCTAGAATCCATGCTGCACCACTACCAAAACGGAAACGAGAAGGTTCGACCCAATATGATCACGTACAACTCTGTCTTGGATGCCTACGCTCGTAACGGTGACATCAAGGGTGCCCTCGAAATATGGGAGTTGATGAACGACGACTACCGTTCCGGGAACCTCTCCGCAGAACCCAACATTCCTTCCTACAACACTCTCATCAACGCTTGGTACGTAACRGATTTTTGCTTCGAAAGCYGGGAAACGAGTTGACAATTTTCTCATCGTTGTTTGTTTGCTACCGGGAAACGATCCACCACGAATTTCTCACCAATKTTTGTTCCTCTCTCACCGGTTGGACAGGTCCAAGTCCAACAAGCAGAAAGAAGCCCCGAAAGAGGCGGAGAAATTGCTGAAGGAGATGATCGATTTGTACACGAGGGGGGATCTGAGGGAGGGTCCCCACACGATCGTATACTCGACCGTGATAAACTGCTGGGCGAAATCGGACCTCCCCGAGAGCSCCCRGCGTGCCCGCGACATACTCGAGTCCATGATCCACCACTACCAGAACGGGATCGAGGAGGTCCGACCGAAYACCATAACGTACAACTCGGTTCTCGACGCCTACGCACGGCAGGGAGACATCGACGGAGCCAACGAAATTTTGAAAATGATGGAAGACGATTTTGATGCCGGMAACACGGAMGCAACAGTCGACCTTCGAACCTATAACATCMTCATCGACACGTGGTAAGTACAAGGCATACTAATTCTTTTTGGTGTGGTTGGAATTTTGTTTGGTTGTATTCTTATTTCAATCTGCTGTCTTTTTTCTTCTTGTACAATCCATCCATCTCTGTTCTGTTCTGTTCCGTCCCGTCCGTCCGATAGGTCGAAATCGCTCAATCCCGTGGCACCACGGGAGGCGGAAAACCTCATCCAGAAGATGATCGACCGGAACATCCACCCCACCACCATAAGCTACACCGGGGTGATCAACACCTTTGGAAAATCGAGCCTCCCGGACAGCCACCACCGCGCCCTGGCCATCCTCGAGGAAATGGCGTCGAGGGCGAGGGCCGGGGACGAGGGGGTCCGTCCCAACAAGATCACCTACAACTCCGTGATCGACGCCTTTGCCCGCAAGCAGGACGCCGCGGGGGCAAAGAGCGTGTACGAGATGATGGAGGAGGACTACGAGTCCGGGAACGCGAGCGCCAAGCCGGATCTGACAACCTACAACACCCTCATGAACGCGTGGTGAGTCCTGTCATGTCGTGTCATGTCCTGTCTCGCTGCAGTCCTACGCATTGCCGTCGCCTTGCCTTGCCTTGCCTTGCCTTGCTGTCTTTTGTGGCACTGACCGACCGTGTCCTGCCCTGCGTTGCTTGTACCATACCATACTATACCATACCATACCATACCGCACCGCAGGTCGAGATCGGGGAGCACGGACGCCCACTCCGAGGCCGAGGGGATCTTTGCCACCATGAGGCGCCGGTTCGAGTCCGGGGWCCTCGACGAGCCGCCGAACGATTCCACGTACAACTTTTTGCTGGCCTGCCTGGAGGGCGTTCCGGGCAAGGAGGAACGGGTTTGGGACCTGCAGGCGAAGCGGAAGAGACTGCGGTAGCAGCGGCCCGCCGCCGCCTTGGTCGACGCRAAAGCACCGATGCAATACTGTACTCCCTAGTCTTTTTTCCCCAATAGAAAAAAAATCTTCTACCTCGAAATCCATTTCGACCAACCCGTGTGAATCTTGTGCGTGTGTTTCGTTTGTCTTCTCTTCTCTTGTATTGTATTGTATTGTATTGTTAGTGCGAATGGCATTCGCTGCGTTGCGTTGCGTTGCGTCACTCGTTCTCCGGCGGTCCCCCAACGGTTGCGCTACCGGACGTGGTGGGTCGGTCGGCTTCCGTCCCCCTCCGCCCGGAGCCTCCGCATCGCGTCCAGGTCCTCCCGCTCGAGGTAGCCCGACCCGGAAACGTCGAATCGGTCGAACTGGTCCCCGAGCTCGGCGACCTCGTCCTCCCCGACGAGGCCGAGCTCCCCCAGGACGTAGAGGACGTACTCGGCCCTGGAGACCCTCCCGTCCCCGTTCTCGTCCATGGCTTTCGCCCGGCCCTCGGTGAGCCAGGCGGCCCGGTCGGCCCCCGTCCGGAAGAGCCGCTGGGTCCGGGCCCGGATCGAAGCGGTGCCGATCGCCGCAAAGAGATCCCCGGCCGCGGCCAGGAGGGCCGGGACCAGGGCCAGGGAGAGGGCCCGGCCGGCCCGGGTCTTGGGGCTGAAGTCTCCRAARCCGATGGTGGTGGCCGTCACGAGGGAGAAGTAGACCGAGTCGGTGGGGCTCCAGCCCTCGATCCTGCCGAGGAGCAGGCCGCCGGAGAGAATCACCAGCAGCGGCCGTGCCAGGGACCCGAGCAGGGGGAGGCACCGGCCGAGTCCCTTTCTCGCCTTCTTCCCGGCGGGAGGGCTCGCGGCGGAGGCGGCAGCAGCGGACGACGCCGTGGGGTGCGAGCGCGGGGGAGGACCGCTGCCGGCAGGGAGCCGCGGGTTTCCGCTGGTCGGCAGCTGCTGCTGCTGCTGCTGCTGCTGCTGTCTGTTTTGTTGTTGCTGCTGCTGCTGCTGCTCCCGCTCGGCCTTGCCTCGCAGGTGTCCGGGCAGGTTGGCCTCGTAAAAGGCCATGGTTTCCTTCGTTTGCTGGGTCCGAAAGACCCTTTCCGCGGCCTCGGTTTCCAGCTGTACCAGCCTGGTCCCGATCGCTGCGATCGCCGAGGACCACAGGAGGACCCCGGAGAGGCCAAAGAGGGCCGCAAAGAKCCTCCCCCCGGGGGTCGACGGGCAGAGGTCCCCGTACCCGACGGTRCTGAGGCAGACGCAGGAGAAGTAGAGGGCGTCGAGGACCGACCAGGAGGCCTCCCGGAAGAGCCGTTCCGACCGGTAGGCCACCGCCCCCACCAGCAGGCAGGAGGCGATCGCCATTGTTGCCTTGCCGGGGGAGAGCCCGTGGAGGGAGCGGACGCCCCCGGGGGGATCCTTTTGCGGAGCCCCTTTGGGGGTCCGGCCACCGGTGCCCCTGGTCCCCGGGAGCTTCTCACGGAGCCTCGAAAGGGCCGCGGTGGCGGACCGCAGGCCGAGGGCACGGGCCCCGGAAAAGCCCCCAACGATTCTATTGCTGCTGCTGCTGCTGCTGTTGCTGTTGCTATTGTTATTGCTGCTGCTGCCATTGCTATTGTTATCGCTGCTGCCATTGCTATTGTTATTGCCGTCACTGCCAGCATCGCCACCGATGGACACGAACAACCCCCGGCTGGCACGGCAGTCCTTTCCGAGGCGAAGGCTGTGGCTGTGGCTGTGGCTGTGGCTGTGGCTGTGGCTGTGGCTGTGGCTGTGGCTGTGGCTGTGGCTGTGGCTGTGGCTGTTGCGGATGCTGGTGGTTTGGAGGAAAGTGCCGGTGGTTTTTGTTGTGGGTTTGACGCAGGGTTTGCCAGCGAAACCAGCAAACGAAGGCGCAGCCAAACCGGCCGGCCCTTGAACACCGCCGAGGGCTCTTGCACGCAGGGCGGCCGAACCCGCCACCAGGAGCGGGAGCCACCGGGCCCTCCCGGAGGACCGAAGGGGAAAGCCGCAAGGATCCTTTCGCGGGGGAGGCCCCCGGGCCTTCTCGCCGGGTGGCATGTGCCGTGCCGTGTCCGGTGGAAGCAGAGCCGTTTTCCGAACAAGGCTTTGTGGGTGTGTGGGGGTTGTTTGGGGGGTTCCGAAAGGAAGGAGTGCCTTGTCCGGGATCCTTGGTTCACTGCTACGGCAGAAGTAGTTCCGTTTGGAAGATCTGCACTGCCAACCGGAGCAGAATAGCCGGGGCCGAAGGAAAAGAACCGTACGAAATCCCAAATCTGAACCAAAAGACGTGTCTAGTGTCTACGAAGTCTCCCAAGATCTAAGATCATCGAGTTCGAGGTACATACGTACCTACTGGTATGATGAGTCGGGAGTACAAATCGTAAGTACAGTACTACTCCTCCGTCGCTCGGCTATCAGCTCTCAGCTCCCTCGTGCTGGTTGTGGTACGTACGGTACTTACTTGGGAAGTACGAACTCGTACGGTACGGTACGATACGATACGTACGACTAGATCCTAAAAAATCCGTCTTTGGTTGGCGTCATTTTTGACGGGATCACGAGTTCGTACGTACTCGTAGTCGTACCGTATGTATTTGGATCGCATCGTTTACGTATCTACCGGTATCTATCTACGGTATGATATTCATTCGCGAAGGTATGGTACTCGTACGTACCGTACTTGCTACCGTACGGTACGAGCATGAACAGGAGAACACGATCGATGAACGACCCTCGTTCTTCAACCAAAATCTGAATCATCCGSACGGTTCAGTACCGTACCGTACGTACCGGTACGACACAAACACCACAAAGAACTTTTACCGCCCGTAAAATGCAGTAGACGCCCTACGGTAGGACGCTGCTCTCCGCCCGCAGCAGGATCGAAGTGGTTCCTTGCCGGAAGGAAGGAACGAGGGAAGAAAGGAGCAGGAGTCACCGGTTTGTATCGACCTCCGATTCGACCGGGTTGGAAGGAGAACACGGCACGGCGAACACACAAAAACAACCCACAAACCACAACCCACGAACCCAGCACCACACCCAAACAATCCACAGAGCGACGGGCAAACCACAGAACCATCGCCCCGGTTCCCGCCCTGCTTCCGGTCCGGCGTCGGCAAGGGCACCGCCGACACACGCAGGGGTGCGGTGCCCCCGGCCGACCCAGGGTGGACAAAGACTTTTCCCCCCCCGCGAGCCGTCCGCCACTCGCGGTCGGTAGGCGATCGTCCGAAGCAGGGCGACGATCAAGGGAGGGGGAACCGAACCGAACCGTTCCGGAACCGAGACGACCACAAGCCCGTTCCGGTCCTTCCGACAGGGCCGAGGGGGGTGGCCGGAGGCGTTCCCGCGGCGCAACGAAGATTCCMTGCCCCGGGGTCGCTTGGCGGRATGCCACCCATCATTWSATARSCCYAGAGGGAATGRTGKTTKGCAGCAWTGRAGGATACGGCCGTGTGGCTCAATGGTAGAGCTTCAGTCTTCGAAACTGAAGGTTGCGGGTTCGAGCCCCGTCATGGTCACGTGATTCWRCTTGTTCTTCCGTCATAGTATAGTGGCTAGTATCCCCGCCTGTCACGCGGGAGACCGGGGTTCGATTCCCCGTGACGGAAACCTTTTGGTGGCCTCTCCAAAGCACAYACCAACTCGAGACAGTCCCACTTTTTTGGGTCACGATAGGGCCTGCTTGCGTTGCACTCGTTTTTCGAGAGGCTCTATTCGTTCCAACACGTACGTACGTACCATACATCGGACGGTGGTACAATACGCACCGTGCTACGCATCCACGTTTCAAGTGTGCGGTCTACGCATTCTGCTCAACCCGCCACAATCACCAAAACCATCGTTGAGCGTCGCTCTGAATTATGAAGAAAATCATAGGTTGCGAAGACAGTCTTGCTTGTTTAGCTCAGTTGGTTAGAGCACTTCATTAGTAATGAAGAGGTCCGTGGTTCGAATCCGCGATCAAGCTGTTTCGTTTTGCTATCGGCCACATACATTGATCCGATTGACGACACCGCACCGCAACGGATGAGGAAGCCTTCTTCCGATCTCCTACCAAGGCACCATGGCTGTCATCGTCCCCAGCGGCTAGCCCACGAGCCACCGGAGGGACGAATGGACTGCAACGGTATTTTTCTAAAAGAAAAGGGCAGTAGATACAACACGGTCTGCTGTTGCTTTGTGGCAAAGCTCGTTACGTAGTTAGTTTGTTTAGTTTGTTACTGTACTTTTTCGCACGCCCGTGCCTTCTATAAAACTACTCGTCGTGCCGGGCCGCAGTAGGGTTGCGTTTTTGTTTTTGATTCGGCCGGTTTTGAGATCRATGAAACCAAGCCGAGGGTCCTGGTTTCGKTTTTTGATTCGATTCGGTTCAGAGTCGATGGTTTGATTCGTTTTGGGGGGTTGCTTTGGCGTTCTGTCGGTTGTAAATGCAAKTGTTGTGTGGTTTGCTTGGTTGGTCSTTTCTATTTATTTTTGGTACAGGGCTATTTGTTCMATTTTCTTCGTCGATGGGCAGAACATGCCAGTTTTTCTTTTTTTCTTTGAATCCAGTTGCYGTTGTTCGTTCGTTAGTTCGCTAGTTCGTTTCTTCGCTTGTCTTGGTGACGCGCAACGTGTGTATCGCTGCCGCATGCTTCCGTTGGTTTCCGTCCATTGCACCGATGGAAGGAAGGAATCCGCCTCGATTCGTTCCTGCTTTCCTCGTGCCATCCGTGCCATCGAATCGGTGTCGTTTCGTTTCGTCTGTTTCGGCTCGGCTCGGACGCACGCGTGTTTCGTTCTSCCTCGTGCCGGGCCTTCTCTCCACCAGCACACAAACACGCACACATAMGCACGATCACCTGGCGACACGAGGCAGGTATTGTTCCTGGCTCCCTCAGGGCAGGAGGGCGTCCCGGTAGTCCGAGTGCTCCCGGTTTTCTATCGAGGCCACCTCGAACTTCCCGAGGAYGTGGTATTCCTCCGASAGCCCCGTGAGCTTCCTGCAGGAAATCCCGCCGCGGTGGGTCAGCCCCACCGACTGGTCCCTCGACATGCGCAGGGTGGACTTTTTGGGTTCCCTGACGTCCAGGTCGTCCATGGCCTTGTGGATCTTCCGGGCGTCCCGGCGGAGGTCCCGCATTTCCCGGAAGCACCTCAGTTTCCCGAGGCTGAACCAGTCCGGGTTGCTCTCCAGCTCGGTCTGGAGGGACTGGTACCGGACCTCCATCTGGCGGATCTCCCGGCCGTAGATCTCCCGCTTGGAGGCCTGGCGRCCGTCGASGTTCGATCTCCCGGCCATCGGAAAGTACCCGCAGGTGCCAAAGACCCGTCCCCGAGGAAGGTAGACGTCCGATCCGAGGTGCCGGGCCTCCTCCTCGACATCAAAGTAGAAGCGGAGGACGTGCGTCCCGAGGGGGCCCTCCCCGGGGCAGACCCTCCAGCCGCCGTCGGCGATCCTCACGGTCCGGCCGCCCTCGTTCATGCTCGGCGCCAGCGAGGCCTCGCCGTGTACCACCCGCAGGACCTTGGAGCCGTCCGAGACGCCCCCGAAAAAGTCCTCCCGCTCGTAGAGCTCGTCGGGGGTAAACTCGAYCTCGAGCTTGAGGTGGAGCTTGTCGCCGCTGGCCCCCCAGGTCTTGGGCATCCAGGTTCCGGGGACCCGGCCCACGTTCAGGCAGAGGCGCCAGCGGGTATCGTCCAGGAGCTTGAGGGGGTGCCTGGTGTCCGTCGTTAACGTGGAGAGCGGGAGAAGGTTKGTGGAAGCCRGCGATTCGTTTTGCGTCTCCTTGCCGAGGCTTTCCTCCATGCGAGTCATGTCGCGACGGAATTCGTCCGCCATTTCCGCCAGCGAATCCAGGGTYTYGGAATCGTCGTCGTCGGTTGCGGCGTCTCGGCCCGGTGTGGTGCCGGYCGTGGCTGCGGGTTTCTCTGCCGCGGTGGCCCACGGCTTCTGTGTCTTCCCGTTGGCTATCTCTCGTTGCTTTTTCTTCTTGAGTGCCTCCTGCCTCTCTCTTGCTCTKAGCGTTTCTTCCTGCTCCTTCTGCTTGGAGACGACGACCAGCTTTTCGCTGAGGGCTTCCAACCGCTCGGCGGCTTCTCGCTTCATCCGGTCGATGTCGGCGCGCATCTCGGTGAGCATCATGTCGCTGGAGGACTTTCTGTTCCTTTTGTGGTTCCTGGTTTTGCTCCTTTGGGTCGGAGGGGGTGCCGAGTACAACGCCGTGGGTTGCTGCTGTGTCCGGTCCTTGGTTGTCTGGGACGACGGGGCCACCAGGCCCAGGCTAGTGTCCAGCTTTTGCAGCAGCAGCAGCAGCAGCATAAAGCAAAAGAACGAGCTCGATATCATGGTGGAGATGCTTTTGGTGTGCTTTGCGGCGTGTGTGTCAAGATCTGTTTTTGTTTGTTTCGTTCACTTTCCTTCCGTGGTGCGAGGGATGGTTTCGACGGGTATTCAAAAATAATGGGATGTGAAACAATGGTGCGATTGCGGTGATTCGATTTGTTCCGTATCGGCGGTTTGGCTTCCGATGGGTACTGTAGTACGAGACTCGTTGATGATCGTGCCGTGTCACTTTTTCGTTCTCTCTCTTCGGTGGGATCGGTAGAATGCACGGGTTCCAGATGTCCGGGTCTTCTCGAATGATCGAAAAAACAGAGGTTCGGAATGGAATCGTTTCTGTTTCTCGCTCGTGCGTTTTGTCGCGAGTTTCAAATTGTGAGGGTGGCAGTCGTGAGAGAAATCTTGGCGGTGGGCGATCTATGGGGGTGGCACCAGATTGGATGTGATTGGACCCGGCATCAAAGAACAAACGAAGCATCGAATCAACAGGTCTCGAATCCTGYCTTTCGGTATGCTGGGTTTGGATTGGTTGGAATCGAGTTCTGTCCATCAGAAGGTCGTTCTCTGGTGACGCACGRAAGCTTATGCATCCCWGRTTCACCCCGAAATCAAGCGTTAAGTAATAACGAAAATTCGGAACACTGACGTACTGGATTCAATGAACGCAGATGTTCCTCCATACCGGTCGGTTTGTGAAGGTTTACAGTTTTACAGTACCATAGTACGAGGTAGGAACGCAAATGTGTGGACCGAATGTGTGACAGGTTATAATTCAAAAAAAACGCAGTTTTTCTAGTTAAAAAAAAAAACAGCATGAGGGTTGTCACGCCCTCCAGACAGAGCAATTGGGGACACTTCCACTCCACACATGTACTGGAATAACTTCATTATAATACGAAGAAGGGGATCCGGAATTCTCAGAATGATCGGCCAAGTGGTTTTTTCTTAAGAGCCCTCAGTATAACAAGGTGTGTAGAATCCTACGTACAAATTAGTACTACTAAATATTTCGATATAAAAATACTTAATGGTTTTTCTCAAAGTGAGACAGGTTCATGTTGCGAAGGCAAATGAGGTGTATTGTTCTCTCCATAGAGCTGTGTACAATTTGTACTGATTCCGGACCTGTCACGGCCTCATTTGCGTTCCTACCTCGTACGCGTCCTATCACGCAGTGAACGATAGTACTTCTACCAGCTAGCAGGGGTCAGGGGTGCACCCCAGCAGGATTTTTTTATCTCTCATTTTTACTGCATAATACTAGTAAAACTATCCAACCTTTAAGCAGTTACAACTTTATCAAAAATACTACTATTTTAATTTTTGAGTAGCCACCTTAGTCCAGTTTTTAGTGATGATTCTGAATATACCATTTTGTTGGATATTAAATTGATATTTGTAGTACTATTTTACAATTGAAAAATTAACATAATTAGGTGAGTTCTTGTAGACACCACTAGTAGTAGAGTTCATGGGACGCAATATGCAATTGAACCCTGATTAATAGACTTCAATACATAGCAATGATCAAGTTCCAGTTAAAAGCAGCTTGGAAGCATCCACTGAATTCCCAAGGTTCCTCACAGCTAAGATGAAGTGGTCAAAGAATGTTAGAGAGGAACACGGTGCTGGGCTGATGATCACCATTGTCCCACAAAAGATCTTGCTTGGATGGATGGAACCATAGGTCTTGTGTGGTACTTGGTCTTGCTCTATTCCTGGAGAAATGGTGTCAATCAGGCAGCACTGGAGCCTCTAGTCAGTGGTTGTTTGCTGAATGCCTTGCTGGTAGGAAAATCAACAACTGTTGCTGCTATGGTTAAAGAAGTTACTACTAGTAGTAGTAGTAGTAAGAAGGGAAAGAATAACTATTCTAATTTTATGAAGCAATATGCCTTTAATAATGAGGTCTTTGTTGCTGAAAGACCTGCAGCTGAAGAAAAACTTGATAACCATTCAATTACAAAGATGGGAACAATGTATGCCAGACAGCATGTTTGTACAAAGGGATCATGTTGATTATAGAGCACGTYGGAAGTCTAGTAGTAGTAGAAGGCAACAGGATTGATGCACTGGTGATACACAGCTTGTTTGGCCTGATATTAATGTTGCATCAAGGCTTTGCTTTGGAGGTGTCTGTTACTACAAAMCAGTCAAGGGACTGGAGTAACCGCCCAGCAGTGGATCACCTCTGCAGTAACACCAGCAAAAATTGCAAACATCTTTGGGGATCAAGTTGCAGCAATCCTTGGCACGGTGTTGCTTTGGGCTTGCTTTGAGCCGGCAATGGAAGCCACAATAAAGATGATATAAAAAGAGATCATGTTGTTTCTTCTTATGTACAACAACAGCTTAGTAGCTTCCAGCACCAAGGAGCTAATAGACACACAGAGGATGATATTATCATGCCTAGCTATTGAAAGAGTGGAGATTATTCTTGTCAATGAAATTGGAGGGCAAGAACACTTTGATGAGCTAGCTGATCCTGATGGGAATGCTCCTGGTGGRGGCTGCAGTATTGGCATTAGAAGGACTMAGTTGCAATGGAATGTTGCAATGTTCTCCAAGGTTRTCTCTACTGCCAATCAAATTAATGATGTCAAGAACAAGAATAGCTGTTGAAGCTAAGTTCAACAGGAAGCTGAATCAAGCCATATCTTTGTCTCAAAGAGCTCCAACGCTGTTTGTCATTTGCTAGCACCAGCAGTAAGGACAGCAACAGGCACTGCAGTGTTGATGATTGGTACTGAAGAGGGTGTAACAGAACTCACCAAATGGGAAGTGGGTGTTGGTCTGAACAAGCCYGTAAAGGACTTTACTGCTGCTGAGAGAGGGTGTGAAGAGCAAGTACCGCAGGAGGAGGAAGTTCTGGAACTATGTCCTCAAAGGACTGATTAGTGCTGATTCTACTTCAGACACAGCAATCCATAGGATCTATGGTGTCTATGGTGGTCCAGGGAAGCAGGTCTCAGCTATCCTCAAGGCTATCAAGTCTCATGAAGCTCATGGAGGCCACCACTTGCTTAGAGGGCATGTTGACCCCACCAGCAACAGTTAGCCAGGCTGTTGTTGTTGTAGCTGTGCTTCTTCTTGTTCTTTGTTGCATGTCAAAGTGTTTCCTACTACTTGTCCCTCCCCTTATAGTATTAAAAAAAACATAAAAATAGTACTGTGTAAATGTTCTTAACTACAAGTGTTTTGCTACTAGCCTCAACAACAAGAGGAGTGAGTTCAATAGCTGATCATGAGAGTGTTGGTATCAGTGTTGATGTTATTGAGGTGATTGTCAATAATGACTCTCCAGACTTGTGATTTTTTCATAGAATTTGCCTTATGTGCATTGTGTGAGTACTTCTCATCAATCACTCTGATACTCCAGCAGACCAGTCTTGCCGTGGTGCACTGTCTGTAAGATCTACTACATACTAGATTATGTACTGTGGTCTACATGGTTGCATTTTAARTTGATATTTCTTTGGATACTTGTGTAGTACAATAAGAAGTACGAGTCAGAATCATACTCACAAAAATGTCTCAGAAACTCTCAAAATTACAAATTACTATTCCATAACAGTTTGTACCATGGGGTGATGGATAAACTCATCGGGTTGGCTGCAGACGCCCGGTAGGACCTCGTGGGTCTGCCACGTCTCCGCAACAAAAACCGGCCAAAGGCTCTTTCGTTGCTGCCCTGCAACAACAAGTCACCAGCTTCGTCTGGGGGCAGCTCCCGTGAGAAAATCTTTTTCAGGGGCAGCACAAGACACGACATACAGGCCGGACGCGGAAGTGGGGGCCGGGGTGTTTGTTGTCGTTGTTATGGCTGCTGCTGCTGCTGCTGCTGCTGCTGACACAGGAAGAATTCGCCGTCGTCGCCTCCTTCCCTCGCCGCGTCGATCTTGGCCTGGTCGAAGGCGTACTTGGTCGGGTCGATGTACTCCGTGTCGTTCCAGAGGACGTCGGTCGTGTCGAGTTCGTAGTCCAGGCCGGCCCTGGCTTCCTTCCGTCCGTTCCAGCGATCGGCGATGGCCTCCGGGGTAGTTCTGGACCTAGGGTCGACGTTAATCACCACGTGGCGCAGGGCCACAACGTACTAGTGGTAGGCCATCCATTCCTCCRGCCGGTGGTTGCCATCCATCCACAAGAGGCATGCCGACAAAYACTCATGTTCCTTGTCCTTGTCGTTATCGTTATCCACTCRCCCCGAGCAAGGAAGCGAGGCCTTGATCCCATCGAATAGCCCCGACCACGCGGTTTTGTGGCTAGTGCTGTCTATGTTGATGTTGTTGCCATTGTTGTTCTCTCGCCCGTGCTGTTCTACTACAAGCTACGGAACCAGCGAGAGAAACGCAAGTGCATTAACACGTTATTCCCACCACGGTTACTATCCGGATGCATCTATGGAGCCTCCCGCTGGGTTTCTGGGGGGTTTTGACGGCTGCATCGCCATTCCTCTCCCCGCTCGAGCTCGGAAAGATTGTTTTGATTATCTAGCAGCCGATGTCCTTCTCGAATTTCATGTTGAGTACAGACAAAAAATGACGTTTGTCCGACCGAGGAAATTTCCTTGCGGGWGGCTTGCTGAAGCGGTCGTCCATAAAAACTTTTAAAGGACCCAAAATTTCGAGTCTTGTAGACGTCAAATCTCCCATAGTGTAGTTGGTTATCACTCGAGGTTCTGATTCTCGCAACCTGAGTTCGAATCTCAGTGGGAGAATGGAGTCTTTTTTTGCTGATTGACATTCCTGAGCCAATTTTTTTTATTCTCAGTTTTGTGAGCATTACTGATGCTCCACAAACTTCGTAGGTTATTACTGCAAGTAAATGACTTGTTCTTCTCTATGCAGCATCAGTACTACTCCAAAACTTCTTGTGGCATTGAATCTTTCTAGTAAAATGTAACTGCTAG